ATGGATCTGGACCAAACTTGGCATGCATCTCCAATATGTCCAGATTTGAATACTGGTGGGTTTTGAGTGGAATTGGCCTGGACATTTTGGAGTTGTAGGTGCTGGGATTTATAGTTCACCTGAAATCAATGAGCACTCTGAACTCCACCAAAGAGGAAATTGGACCACACTTGGCATACAGAATCCCCATGACCAGCAAAAAATACTGGAGGTTTTTAGAGGAAATTCACCGTGATTTGGGGGAGTTGTAGTTCACCTACCTCCAGAGACCCGGGTACCCAAGCTAGTCCTGCTCACTGTGTTCTTTTTTATTGGTTTAATGTTTTGATTTTATATTGTTGTGCTGTATGTTTACATTTTGTATTTTATGTTATTTTATTTTCTGATTTTCTGTTGTGTTTTTGTGTTATACGTCTTCAGAAGGAGCCTGAAAACATGGATGTTCCAGTGTGCCTTCCCAGATTAAGGAATCCCAAGCAATATGTCCCACATGCACTTTACGAGAGAGTTAGAACTGTCTGCACACCCACTTACCCCCCAAAATTTCCATCCTTTTCACCTGGTCATACCATACCCAGCATTTTAAAAATAATTTTAATTTTTATATTTGGCCCTGCCAGGTTTTTAAATTGCGTTGTGATTTGTTCTTGTTTTTGCTTTGCTATGAGTTATTTGTTGTATTGTGTTGCTGTGATTGTGTTTTGTGTTTTGATATATTTTGGGCTCGGCCTCTTGTAAGCCGCACCGAGTCCTGCGGGAGGTGGCGGCGGGGTATAAATAAAGGATTATTATTATTATTTTCAACTTTCAAAAATAGTTTATTGTACGGGCCCAAGGCCATGACAAAAAGCACCACACACACACAATACAGAGTACAGGCACCAAAGATACTAAACAGAACCATAATTTGCTCCCACAACAAAAACAATGGAAGTTAATAATAGCTAAAATACATTTTAGGAGAGGATCCAGTTAACCCTTAGAATCTCCTTGGCAGTTGATAGCGATTTTATCTAATTATTATTGTTATTATTATTATTATTATTATTATTATTATTATTATAATATTGTGTTTCTGTATTGATGGGCCTCATGTAAGCCGCCCCGAGTCCCCTTTGGGGAGATGGTGGCAGGATATAAATAAAGATGATGATGATGATGATTATTATTATTATGTAAATAAAGTGGAAATTGCTCAGCACTTCAAATCCACAAACTCACAGCAACACAGCAAATAATACCTTTTCACATAACTACATGTATTAGTACTGTAGCCCCCTCTAGTGGCTACTCTTGTGCTCTGCAGCCTCTTCAGCTATTACTATTTTTATGAGCCGAGTGCTAATAGCTAAAGACTACACTTCCCATCATCTCTCACCCTAGAGCCGTGATGGCGAACCTATGACACGCGTGTCAGTACTGACACGCGTAGCCATTTCTATTGACACGCGCCCGCCGGATATTATTTGTTTATTTATTTTATGCCATTTAAAAAATAAATAGGAAAGAATTATTATTTTGCAATGTTACCTAAATATTAAGGAGTTTCATATTTAAACTGAACGATAAATACTATTACTTTGCTATATTATTCAAATATTAAAATGCATTAAATTAAATGTCAAATTTAAAAATATTTAATTATTATTAATATTTAGGTAACATTGCAAAATAATATTGGTTTATTTAATTATTAAGTAAACGAATATTATTTTGCATTGTTTCCTAAATATTAAGGAGTTACATATTTAAATTAAATTAAATGATAAATAATGCTTTGCTATATTACTCAAATATTTCAGAATGCCTTAAATGAAATGGTAAATTGAATTTTAATTTGACATTTAATTTAATGCATTTTAATTTAGTGCATTTTAAATATTTTTAATATATGCCTATATATATATATATATATATATATATATATATATATATATGCCTTAAATGAAATGGTAAATTAAATATCAAAATATTATTTTGCAATGTTACTTTATTGTTATTGCATTATTATTATTATTATTATTATTAGAAATACATTAAATAGCATATTAAATGCTAGAAATACATTTAAATTAAATTAAAAATAAATAATATTTTGTTGGGTTTTTAAAATTATATTTTTATTAAACACTCCAAAAAGGACATTATTTACATAAAGAGACGTAGAACAATATGATAAGAGAGAAAGTGGGAATTACAATTATATATTTTTTGTTATTTAAACTAAATATTGCGAAATTATGGGTTTTTTCTTGAAGTGACACACCATCTGAATTATGCTCAGTTTTTTGGTGAATTTTGACACACCACGCTCAAAAGGTTGCCCATCACTGCCCTAGAGGATAGGGATAGAGGTAGCTAAAGACTACACTTCCCATCATCTCTCACCCTAGTTGGAGGAGCTGTTGAGCACTATAGCCTAGCAACATCCTATGGGCCACCCCCTCCTATATGAACAAGGAAGGGATTACATTAGTAAACAGAACAATTGGAGAAGCAGGTCTTGGTCTCCTAACCTGGACGCCTGACCACTGTGTGTCCATTGTGGGTTAGTTATGAGAGTCAGAAATGAAACCAAAAGAATATAAGAAAAAAGTTTAATAATCAATGTTATTTGTTGGAAAGTATGAGTGTTGAATGAAAAGTAATGCCTTCACCTTTGTTACTCAACAGATGGCAGTACTGGTATGCGGCAGGTACTGGCTTGTTCAGTAGACTCTCCTCTGCAGTTTCATTTTCGCAGGAAGCCTTAATATTGAATGGTTGTGTTGTTAAAGTGCCAAGTATGGAACCCTGCACAGACGGTCTGTCAATGCGATTTAAGCAACGTGCAGTTATTGAATTCTTGACAGCAGAAGGTGTCACCCCAAAGGAGATTCATGGTGATTGTGTTGATGTGAATACTGTGCTTCGTTGAGCGAGTAATTTTAAAGATATTGAGGTTTGGGTGATTTGGGTGACAAAGAAAGAGTTGGACATCCTGTGACAGCAACCACCGAGTTTCACAAGCAAAAGGTTGACAGATTGAAGCAGGATGATGGTCGTATCACTCAGAGAGAAATTTCAAGAATAATCAGCATTTCATAAGAATAATCAGCATTTCATAATAATGTGGGTCACATTATTGCTTTACTTAGCTATCAGAAGATCTGTGCACGATGGGTACCCAGGATGAGAGAACTGTGAAACGCTGATTGTGGGAGCAGAGTGTTGACTTCTTCTGTGACGGCTTCAGAAAACGTGTTCATTGTTGGCAGAAATGTATCCAATTGTCTGGTGATTATGTGTGGGTCACATTATTGCTTTGCTTGGCTATTATTGGAAGATCTGTGCACAATGGGTACCCAGGATGAGAGAACTGTGAGATGCTGGTTGCGGAAACAGAGTGTCGACTTCTTCCGTGATGGCTTCAGAAAACTTGTTCATCATTGGTAGAAATGTATCCAATTGTCTGCTGATTATGTGTGGGTCATATTATTGTTTTGCTTGGCTATTGGAAGATCTGTGCACAATGGGTACCCAGGATGAGAGAACTGTGAGACGCTGGTTGCAGAAACAGAGTGTAGACTTCTTCCGTGACGGCTTCAGAAAACTTGTTCATCGTTGGCAGAAATGTATCCAATTGTCTGGTGATTATTGCTTTGCTTGGTTATTGAAAGATCTGTGCACAATGGGTACTCAGGATGAGAGAACTGTGAGATGCTCGTTGCGGAAACAGAGTGTCGACTTCTTCTGTGACGGCTTCAGAAAACTTGTTCATCGTTGGCAGAAATGCATCCAATTGTCTGGTTATTATGTGTGGGTCACATTATTGCTTTGTTTGGCTATTGGAAGATCTGTGCACAATGGGTACCCAGGATGAGGGAACTGTGAGATGCTGGTTGCGAAAACAGAGTGTCGACTTCTTCCGTGACGGCTTCAGAAAACTTGTTCATCATTGGCAGAAATGTATCCAATTGTCTGGTGATTATTGCTTTGCTTGGTTATTGGAAGACCTGTGCACAATGGGTACCCAGGATGAGAGAACTGTGAGATGCTGGTTGTGGAAACAGAGTGTCGACTTCTTCCGCAACAGCTTCAGAAAACTTGTTCATCGTTGGCAGAAATGTATCCAATTGTCTGGTGATTATTGCTTTGCTTGGTTATTGGAAGATCTGTGCACAATGGGTACTCAGGATGAGAGAACTGTGAGATGCTGGTTGTGGAAACAGAGTGTCGACTTCTTCCATGACAGCTTAAGAAAGGTATCGTTGGCAGAAATGTATCCAATTGTCAGGTGATTATGTGGAAAAGTGAATAGTTTTAGTTAAAGAGCACATTCTAAGGATTATTTTTGCGTTTGATTTATTAAAATATTCCCATCCAAACCTAAGTAACGAAGGTGGAGGCATTACTTTTTTATTCAAACCTTGGATATATAAAAATACACTCTGACACACACACAAACACACATCTGGAAGGCATGGCATGTCTTGAGCCTTCTCTCTGGAAGGAAAGGCTCTGAGAAGTGGTCCTCATGTGATGGGAAAAGAGGGGTGAGTAGTTAGTGGTCTCCCATAGGATGAAACAGGGTCGCCTTGTTGAAATGTCAGCTGAGAAGATTAGGATGAGACTGAAGCTCCGGTTTGGCAAGGAGTGCCTCAAAAAGGTCCTCCATACCTGGCTCTTGACCTCCAACTGGAACACGTTTCACATTAGTTTTGTTGGCACATAACGAATCGCCTACCAACCTCGTTGCATTGAGTGTCAAGGAATTGCAAAGGAGAGGAGACATCTTGCTTTGGTTCCTTTTAGCTCTTGTGGCCCCAGTGTCTTCTCCAGAGTCCATCCCTGCCGTAGGGATGCCTGCCATAGATGCAGGCGAAACATCAGGAGAGAATGCTTCTGGAACATGGCCAGACAGCCCGGAAAACACACAACAACCCAGTGATTCCGGCCATGAAAGCCTTCGGCAATACATTCCCCATCCCTCCCTTGCAGTTGGAATGGGAAGGTCCATCTCAGCGGGATGTTGTTTGCTATCCCTCGATTTCAGGAGCAGATGCTTCTCCGCCTGCGGAGCACGGCCACGGGGCTGGTGGTCACATCCTCCTGGTCACTCTCACAGTCACGCTGCAAGGGAGGCAAGAAAGGCAGAATGAAGGAGCAGCCAGGCTCAGGGTTGGTTGGAGAAGGAGCTGCTGGAGGGATCTCTATCCATCCCAGTGTTTCTCCACCGTCCTAATGCCGTGATCCCTTAATACAGTTCCTCATGTTGTGGTGATCCCCAACCATAACATTATTTTCGTGGGGTTGGCGGAGATTGATTTTGTCATTTGGGAGTTGTAGTTGCTGGGATTTATAGTTCACCTACAATCAAAGAGCATTTTKAACCCCACCAATGATGGAATTGAACCAAACTTGGCACACAGAACTCCCATTACCAACAGAAAATAGAAGGGTTTGGTGGGCATTGACCTTGAGAGTTGTAGTTCACCTACATCSAGAGAGCACTGTGGACCCAAACAATGATGGATCTAGACCAAACTTGGCATGGACACTCARTATGGCCAAATGTGAACACTGGTGGTGTTTAGGGAATATAGACCTTGACATTTGGGAGTTGTAGTTGCTGGGATTTATAGTTCACCYAYAATCAAAGAGMRTTCTRAASTCCACCAACTTGGCAYACAGAACTCCCACRATCAAYRGAAAATACWARAAGGGTTTGGTGGGCATTGACCTTGAGTTTGGGAGWTATAGTTCWCCTAYATCCAGAGAGCACTGTGRACWCAAACAATGATGGATCTGGACCAAACTTGGCACRRATACTCAATATGCCCAAATGTGAAMACTGGTGGTGTTTARGRAAAATAGACCTTGACATTTGGGAGTTGTAGTTGCTGGGATTTATAGTTCATCTACAATCAAAGAGCACTCTGAACTCCACCAATGATGGAATTGGACCAAACTTGGCACACAGAACTCCCGTGACCAACAGAAAATATTGGAAGGGTTTGGTGGGCACTGACCTTGAGTTTTGGAGTTGTAGTCCATCTACATTCAGAGAGCACTATGGACTCAAACAATGATTGGCTGGGAACAAATTTGGCACGAATACTCAATATGCCCAAATGTGAACACAGATGGAGTTTGGAGAAAATAGACCTTGACATTTGGGGGTTGTAGTTGCAGGGATTTATAGTTCACCTACAATCAAAGAGCATTCTGAATCCCACTAACGATAGAATTGGGCCAAAATTCCCACACAGAATCCTCAAAATCAACTGTTTTCTGAGGGTCTTTGGCGATCCCTCTGACCCCCCTCCCCCGGTGACCCCCCCCCCCAGAGGTCCCGACCCCCAGTTTGGGAAACACTGCTCCAGGTTATACCCTTCCCGCCAATCAACCCTCAACCTTAAATAAGCTTAAGAGAAAATGGACCCCCCCCCCCCCCCCCCCCCCCCCCCCCCCCCCCCCCCCCGCCAGGCACCCTCACGAATGCATCACCCACCAATATCTCTTCCTCTTCCCTTCGCTGCTGGCACAGGAGACCCATGCGGCACAGGCGGTTGCAGGCAGACACCATGTTGTAGGAGAGCTGCCAAGAGGGATGGCAAGGGAAGAATTCATTTACAGCATTTATATTCGGCCCTTCTCACCCCGAAGGGGACTCAGGGCAGTTCACAAAACATATTCTCGGCAAACATTCAATGCCGTTAGACAGACAGGACAGACAACAGATAGAGGTATTTTTCCCACTTTCAGCATCCTGGAGGTTGAGCTAGATTTTGGCCACAGGGGGTGCTAGCGCTCCATCCTCTATGACGATGAGTCCTTGATCACAGACTTTCCTCCATTTTTTTTATCACCGACATATTCTGGCGCTTCCTTTTTATGGTGGTGTAAAATACCTCCCCGCTTAATTTCTCTACTCACAGCTGTTTTTGAACTGCTTAGGTGGACAGTAAGCTGGGCTGAAGGTCGGATGCTCACTCCGACCCGGGCTTCAAACTGCCAACTTTACAATTGGTGTGATCTTATTGCTGCTGGTGATTAACCAGCTGTGCTAAAGCCCGGCCCTTTACACACACCTTCCTTTCTACCCATAGTACCGGGCAGAAAGGAAGGCTGCCCCCAAGAGCCATGTCTCCCCCCAGTTCAAAATCCTTTGGACACTGGTGCTTGACCCTTGGGGCCTCCAGACATGAAGCCACAGACAAACAGGCCCAAAGTGTGTTTGTGGTACCAGCTCTGGAAACTCCAAGGTTCAGCCTCTCTGTTTACCTTCCACTTCCGACGAGCGTTGAATTTGCGGAAGTTCTTCATGTTGATGGAGGACCGGCTCCGGTTCATGGCTTGCTTCCGGTTTAAGGGCTGGAATTGGAAAGGGAGAAATAAGCATTCATGATTCCAGGGTTCTTGGTCCCTGCCCTTTTGGAAAGAGGGAGCAAAGAGACGATCCAGCAGCTCCCATCATCCCTCACTGTTGGCCAAGCCAACAGTTCTGGCCTGGCCTACAGGGATGATGCTGCAGTCCAGCATCTGGAGGGACACACATACCTAGTAAAAATAATAGGTATTTTAATTACAAAAATGTGAGTCAAGGAAAAGCTGTAGTTATATATACGGTGTGCCTGTAGCTTAGTTGGCCTCAGTGTTAGTTCGCCTCAGTCTGAGAGAGGCCTCAGTCTGAGAGAGCCTTTAGTGGGACAAGGGCCTCAGTGTGAGGTAGGCCTCATTATGAGAAAGTGTCAGTGTGAGAGAATGCCTCAGTGTGTGAGGTAGGCCTCAGTATGAGAAGGTGTCAGTGTGAGAGAACGCCTCAGTGTGTGGGGTAGGCTTCAGTATGAGAAGGTGTCAGTGTGACAAAACGCCTCAGTGTGTGAGGTAGGCCTCAGTATCAGAAGATATCAGTGTGAGAGAACGCCTCAGTGTGTGAGGTAGGCCTCAGTATGAGAAGGCATCAGTGTGAGAGAACACCTCAGTGTGTGAGATAGGCCTCAGTATGAGAACGCGTCAATGTGAGAGAATGCCTCAGTGTGTAAGGTAGGCTTCAGTAGGAGGTGTCAGTGTGACAAAACGCCTCAGTGTGTGAGGTAGGCCTCAGTATGAGAAGGCACCAATGTGAGAGAATGCCTCAGTGTGTGAGGTAAGCCTCAGTATCAGAAGATATCAGAGTGAGAGAATGCCTCAGTGTGTGAGGTAGGCCTCAGTATGAGAAGGCATCTGTGTGAGAGAATGCTTCAGTGTGTGAGATAGGCCTCAGTATGACAAGGCATCAGTGTGAGAGGATGCTTCAGTGTGTGAGGTAGGCCTCAGTATGAGAATGTGTCAGTGTGAGAGAATGCCATAGTGAGGTGGGCCTCAGTATGAGAAGGCATCAGTGTGAGAGAACGCCTCAGTGTGTGAGGCAGGCCTCAGTATCAGAAGATTACAGTGTGAGAGAATGCCTCAGTGTGTGAGGCAGGCCTCAGAATGAGAAGGCCTTGTACGTGAAGCTTGAGTGCGAAGGCTTCTGTGTGTAAATCTCCTGTGTAAGTTCGGTGTGAGAAGAAGCTCTGTGAGGGGGAAGCTGTTTATCTGGATGAGAAAGAAGCCCAGCATGGAAGCAAAGAAGGAAGTATTTGTGTTATGGAAACCTTGTTCTTGTAAATACTGCAACCATATTATTTTTCTATAGAGAAAAGCTTCCCAAGGAAGAGATAACATTGGTCTCTGTGTTTTTGTTCCTTTATCATTTTGGATTACTGGTGCTACTAATAATTGACTCTGCTGCACATTTATGGGGAGAGTCATTTTTTAATAAGCCCAATTGCCCAACACACTCCTCTCCCAACAGGTAGTAGGACCATGAACTAGGCTTGCCTCCCCGCTTCTACTGACCCTACACTTGGGTCTCATCCTACAAAGAACCAATTGCCCAGGATCATCTACTCCTTAGACATGTACTATTTGCCTCCTATGTCCAGCTTTCTCACCTTGATCCATGGGTGCCTGAGACACTCGCTGGCCGTCATCCGGTTCCTGAAAGACACAAGGAAAGCTTCCCACGTTCGTGTATTCCAACCTCTCCTCTCTGCAGACAGGTCTCTTGCCTTCCCTCCACCCCAACTATAAGGAACTTGCTGGCTCCTAGGAAGGACAGGGATTCCCCTGTGGGATGTTACCCAGGCTCCTTGACCAGAAGCTGCTGGATGAAGTCCTTGGCCATCTCCGAGGTCTGGCTGAAGTACTTCTCCTCGAACTCATAGTTGCCGGCGACCACGTTGGAGAGGGTTTCTGGGTCTGTCTCGCCCTGGAACGGGGACATGCCGCTCAGCCTGGGAGAGGAAGGGGACAACGGGCTTGGAGGAAGTTCAGCAGCTAAGACTGCTTTCAATGGTGACTCACCTGGAGGAGAGAGGGGGGCCAGGGCACAGTTCCATCTTGTCTCCTGCATATGTCATTAGTTGGGGAACCCTCCACCCAGCACCAACTGCAGCTTTGGGCCAGAGTGAGGAGAGAAGGGGCCAGGGGACAGTTCCATGTCATCAGTTGGGGACCCCTCCACCCAGCATCAACGGCGGCTCTGGGCCAGAGTGAAGAGAGAGGGGGCCAGGGGACAGTTCCATCTTGTCTCTTGCATATGTCGTCAGTTGGGTACCCCTCCAACCAGCGCCAACTGCGGCTCCGGGCCAGAGTGAAGGGGGAGGGGTCCAGGGGACAGTTCCATCTTGTCTCTTGCATATGTCATCAGTTGAGGAACCCTCCCCCCAGCACCAACTGCGGTTCTGGGCCAGAGTGAAGAGAGGGGGGCCTGGGGACAGTTCCACATTGTCTCCTGCATATGTCATCAGTTGGGGACCCCTCTCCCCGCCACCAACTGCGGCTCCGGGCCAGAGTGAAGGGAGAGGGGGCCAGGGGGCAGTTCCACCTTGTCCCCTGCATATGTCGTCAGTTGGGGACCCCTCCAACCAGCACCAACTGTGGCTCTGGGCCAGAGTGAAGAGAGTGGGGGCCAGGGGACAGTTCCACCTTGTCTCCTGTGCTATGCTAATAATATAATATAATATATTGTATATACATATAATATTTATAATATTATAATGTAATATATCTTAATAATACTATTATAATTATATATTTTATTTTACACATAATATTACTAATAATATTACAATATAATGATATAGTACAATATAGTAATATAGAATACTGATATTGTACTATGCTAATAATATAATATATTGTATGTATATATATCTTGTAAGCCACTCTGAGTCCCTTTAAGGGTGTGAAGGGCGGCATATACTGTTTATACTTGAGTATAAGCCTAGTTTTTCAGCCCCCTTTTTAGGCTGAAAAAGCTCCCCTCGGTTTATACTCGAGTCAAGATTATTGATTATTTTACTCTGTTATTAGTATTATTTTATTACCTTTATTATTTTACTCTATTTATTATTATTATTATTGCATTTATTATTTTTCTCTATTTATTATTGTTTATATTACATTTATTATTTTTCTCTATTATTATTATTATTATTACATATATTATTTTACTCTCTTCATTATTATGGGAAGGATAGGTGAGCACATTTACGTGGAAGAATGTGAGAAGCATGGTTTAATCGGAGTTGGACAGTCTTATCTTAAATTACAGTTTTATGTAAATATCCAAAAGCATTTAATCTACTGAAGCCTCAATTAATGTAATTTTATTGGTATCTATTTTTATTTTGCATTTCTCACCCTTGGCTTATACTCGAGTCAATACATTTCCCTAGTTTATTGTGGTAAAATTAGATGCTTCGGCTTATATTCGGGTCGGCTTATACTTGAGTATATACGGTAAATATCATAAAATAAATAAATAAGCTGGCCCTGTCTGGAAGTCCTCTCTTTTTCGAGTGTTGCTCTTAATTTACAGTCCTGATTTTAAAGAGGAACACTAACAAAACAGGGGAATTCCTGACATGAAACAATCAGGGCCAGCAAACACCTCCCAACAAAGGATTCCCCTACGCAGGAAGCAGCCAGGCTTTGAAGCTGCAAGGTCATTCAGAGAAGTCAGCTTGATGAACCAGTCTGGACACAGCAAATTATTTGAGAACACAGAAATGCTGGACTACTCTGACAACCACCATGTCAAGCTACACAGAGAAGCCATAGAAATCCACAAGTATTTGGGCAATTTCAACAGAAAGGAGAAAACCATGAAAATGAACAATATCTGGCTACCAGTATTAAAAAAACTCTAAAATCAGGACAGTAAATAAAGAGCAACACTAAAAAAAGGGGGGGGGGGAATCCAGACATGAAACAATCAAGGCCTGCGAACACCTTCCGACAAAGGAGTTCCCTGGGCAGGAAGCAGCCAGGCTTTGAAGCTGCAAGGTTATTCAATGCTAATCAAGCTGGCCAATTGCCCCCAGCAGACAAGAGTTCTTTCTCCCACCCTGGACATTATTCCACAGATATATAAACCCCGCTTGCCAAGTTTCCAACAGACCTCACAACCTCTCAGGATGCCTGCCGTAGATGTGGGCGAAACGTCAGGAGAGAGTGCTTCTGGAATATGGCCAGGCAGGTTGGAAAACTCACAGCAAACCAGTGATTCCTAATGTCACTGGGAGGCCAAGTGTCATAAACTCCGAAATCCCCACAGGTAAACATAAAGAGACTTTGAGTGACTTACAAGATGTATGTGATGACGCCGATGCTCCTGCAAAAAAAAAAGAGGGAGAGGAAGAGTGAAGTGGAGGCTGAAGAAATGCCAAGAAGACGTTTGCCAGATCTGCTTTGCGGGTGGCAAAGAGGGACAGAGGGATAAAAGGAAGTGGAAGACAGAGGAAGAGTGCATCTGTGCATGTCTGGTTTGCAACCACTTCCTGGGGGCCTTGGCTCCCTTCCTGCCCAGGAGTCAGTGAAAAAGGGAAAGGGAGACTTACCACATATCTGTGGCTGTGCTCAAAGCCTCGTAGTTGATCACTTCAGGAGCTGAGGAAGACAAGAGGAAGAGAGGAGAAGGAAAGGCTTGAGCTTCCTCTGGGGCAAAGTGGCTACTCAGGAGAAGGGTCTAGGGCAGGTATGGGGAAACCAGGTGTGGCTCCTTGGGCTCTTTCCTCTGGGCCTCCTCTCTCTCACTGTCCTATCCTTCCTTCCTTCCTTCCTTCCTTCCTTCCTTCCTTCCTTCCTTCCTTCCTTCCTTCCTCCTTCTCTCCATTCCTTACCTCCCTCTTTCTCCATCCCTCCTTTCTTCCCTTCCACCCTTTTGTCCTTCCCTTTCTCATTTCTCCTTCCCTTCGTCCCTTTTGTATTTCCTTCCTTCTCTCTTCCCTTCCTCCTTCCTTTCATCCTTCCATCATTCCTTCCACCCTTCCCCCCCTTTTGTCTTTCCTTCCTCCCCTTCCCTCTTTCTCCTTCCACCCTTTTCATCCATCCTTCCCTCTTTCCTCCTTCTCTTCCTCTTTCTCTTTCCTTCCCTTTTGTCTTTCCTTTTCTCTCTCTTTCCTTTTCCTTCCCTTCCTTACGTCTTTTCCTCCCTTTCTTCCTTTATCCTTCCTCCTTTCCTTCCCTCTTTCCTCCTTCACTCCCTCTTTCTCCTTCCTTCCTTCCTTCCTTCCTTCCTTCCTTCCTTCCTTACTTAATTCTCTGTCTTTCTCTCTCCCTCTTTCCTCCCTTCCTTCCCTCTCTCCCTCTTTCTTCCCTCCTTCCCTCCCACCCTCTAATCTTTCTCCTTCCTTCCTTCCATCCTTCCCTTCCCCCTTTCATCTGTCCTTCCTTCCTTAATTCCCTTTTGTCTTTCCCTTCCTTCCCTGTCCTTCCCTTCCCTCTTTCTCCTTCCATCCTTCCTTCTGTCCTCCCCTTCTACCCTTTATCCTTCCTCCTTCCCTTCCTTCCATCCTTCCCTTCCATTCCCCCCTTTCTTCCCTTTTGCTTTTCTTCCTTTCTTCCTTCCCTCTTTCCTCCTACCTCTCCTCTTTCCTCTTCCTCCTCCTCCTCTCTTCTTTCCTCTTCCCTTCCTCCTTTCATCCCTTTCTTCCCTTTTGTCTTTTCTTCCTTTCCCTCTTTCCTCCCTTTCTTCCCTCTCTCCCTCTTTCTCTTCCTTCCTCCCTCCTTCTCTTTGGTCCTTCTTTCCTTCTCTTCTCCTTCCTTCCTTCTTTCCTTCCTCCTCTTCTCCTTTCCTTCCTTCTTTTTCTTTTTCCTTCCCTCTCTCTTTCCTCCTCCTTCCCTTTCTCCCTCTTTCTCCTTCCATCCTCTTTCCTTCCTTCCTTCTCTTTTCCTTCTCCTTCCCTTCTTTCTTCCTTCCTTCCCTTTCATCCTTCCTTTCTTTTCTTTTCTTCCCTCTTATTTCCTCCCTCCTTCCCTCTCACCCTCTTTCTCCTTCCATCATCCCCTTCCTCCCTTTTATCCTTCTTTCCTTCTCTTTGTCCTCCCTCCCTCCTACCATTTCATCCTTCCTTCCCTTTTATCTTTCCTTCCTTTCCTCTTTCCTCCCTCCTTCCATCCCTCTCTTCCTCTCTTTCATCCTTCCTCCCTTCTCTCTTTCCTTCCTCCTTCCCTTCCTTCCATCACTGGGCAGTCAGTCCGGTGTGCTAGTATGTGGCCCACAAGTTAGAAAGTTTGCCCATGTCTGGTCTAGGGCAAGCACAACCTTAGAAAAGGGGGCCCGCTCCCTTCCCAGCCCCACAGCAACGCTGGAGGAGCAATATCTAAACCAGCGTTGTTAGACTGGCCCCTCTTTGAGGACAAGACCCTCCTTTGGCTCCCCACTCACCGATGTACTGGGGGGTCCCACAAAGACTTTTGAAGGGCACACCTTCCTCCAGCTTTTGGGCCAAACCAAAGTCGATGATCTTGATGGCGGGGTTGGGGACGTCCTTCTGGAAGAGCATGATGTTCTCCGGCTGCAGGAGGGACCAAGGAGCCCACATGGGATGCGAGGGCCAGTGGAGAGGATGCCCAAATGGCCCATCCTCAGAAGGGCAAAAGAGACAGAGACGGTTTCCCTACGGACACCCCTCCCTCCCTTTGTTATACAGAGAGATTAAATTGTGCTAAATTCAACAATTGGGCATTTTGATGCCCAGTTTGTGGTCGACCATCTCCAAGGGACCACAATAAAGGAATGATGCACCACCACCCAAACCAGGAAACCACCAAGGTCCATGGATGTTTGCTAAACAGCTGCCTCCAGAAAAAGCCAAGATGGCCCTCGCGGGATGGGTACCTTGAGGTCAAAGTGGGCGATGTGGCAGGAATGCATGTAGGCCACTCCACGGAGGATCTGTTCCATGAACTCAATGGCCGCCTCCTCCGTCAGCATCTCCTTCTCAGCAATGAAGTCAAAAAGCTCTCCACCATGGATGCTGAGAGGAGAGGAGAGAGGGAAAGAAGGATGGAGGTAGTTGGCCCTGCATGGACTTCCAAGGACAACTCCAATATGCTGATGATAGTGTAATCTATGCACATTCAAAAGAAAACCTACAAGCCACTCTAAAAGCCGTTGAAGAAGCAGACAAGAAGATCGACCTTTCATCGAACATTGAGAAAACCAAAGTACTCTTCCAGCCAATCCCTCCGCAATGCCAGGAATACAGCTTAATGGTGAAAATGTTGAATATATCCACTCCCTTGGCAGCCACCTTTCCACAAAAGTCAACACTGACACTGAAATACAACACTGTCTGAGCTCTACAAGTGCAGCATTCTTCCAAATGAAGCAGAGAGACCAGGAAATCTCTAGGGAGATCAAGGTGCTTTTTTATAAAGTTATTGTCCTCTCAGCCCTGTTATATGCCTGTGAAACATGGACTGTCTACAGACATCAACAGTAACACTGAAATGCAACACTGCCTGAGTTCTGCAAGTGCAGCATTCTTCCAAATGAAGCTGAGAGTGTTTGAGGACCGGGACATCCATAGGGAGACCAAGGAGATTGTTTATAAAGTCATTGTCCTTCCAACCCTGTTCTATGCCTGTGAAACATGGACTGTCTACAGATGTCACAGTCAACTCCATTGGCTTTCCCTTGAAAAATCCTGCAAATCTCTTGGGAAGACAGACAGACAAATATCAGGTTGCTGGAAGAAGCAAAGACCACCAGCACTGAAGTGATGCTCTTACGCTATCACTCCACTGGACTGAATGCCACGTTGTCTGAATACCCAATCACCGATTAGACTTACAGCTCCAGGATCAGGACCATCTCAGCTTTGCTGGCAAAGATGTCATGGAGGCGCATGATGTTGGGGTGCTGCAGCTGGCGCAGGATGTTCACCTCCCGCGACACCTGCTCGCGGTCCAGGCCCAGCCGGCTCCCCTTCCGCTTCCGGATCTTGACCGACTTGGCTGCAAAGAAGGCGTCCGTCTCCCGCTCCCGGCAGCGCCTCACCACCCCGAAGTGGCCGCTGGAGAACCGGAATCATAAGGGAAGAAAGTGCATGACAGCGAGGGTCGTCCCACCCCGTTGCTGCCCCAAGATCTCTCCAAAGAAACCAAAGGATGGAAGGCTTTCTCTACACAAGGCAAGAGAAGTTGATGGTGTGGAATGGAGAATCACTGCTTGGAACCAATCATGGAAGGACAGCTACTGGATAGGGTGGGATATGGTTGGAGAGGCTTTGAGAGGGTCCTACTAGTCCTGGAATGGGAGGTGCTCTATTTCATCCTGACCCCAAGATCTCTCCAAAAGAAACCAAAGGATGGAAGGCCTTCTCTACACAAGGCAAGAGAAGCTGATTATGTGGAATGGAGAATCACTGCTCGGAGCCAATCATGGAAGGACAGTTACTGGATAGGGTGGGATCTGGTTGGAGAGGCTTTGAGAAGGTCCTTCGAGTCATGGAATGGGGGCTGCTCTCTTTCATCCTGGCCCCAAGAGCTTTCCAAAGAAACCAAAGGATGGAAGGCTTTCTCTACACAAGGCAAGAGAAGGTGATGATGTGGAACGGAGAACCACTGCTAGGTGCCAATCATAGAAGGACAGCTACTGGATAGGGTGGGATCTGGTTGGAGAAGCTTTAGAAGGTCCTTCTAGTCATGGAATGGGAGGTGCTCTCTTTCATCCTTGCCCCAAGAGCTCTCCAAAGAAACCAAAGGATGGAAGGCTTTCTCTATACAAGGCAAGAAAAGGTGATGATGTGGAATGGAGAACCACTGCTTGGAGCCAATCATGGAAGGACAGCTACTGGATAGGGTGGGATCTGGTTGGAGAGGCTTTGAAAGGGTCCTTCTAGTCTTGGAATGGGAGGTGTTCTCTTTCATCCTGGCCCCAAGAGCTCTCCAAGGAAACCAAAGAATGGAAGGCTTCCTCCAAGAGAAGCTGATGGTGTGGAACTAAAAACCACTGCTTGGCATCAATCATGAAAGGACAGCTCCTGAGATATGATGGGGAAAGGGCTCCTCTTCTGGTTGGAGAGACTTTGAGAGGGTCCTTCTAATCCTGGAATGGGAGGTGCTCTCTCTTTCATCCTGACCAAGAGGAGTGTGGATTCCCCACACATTCCACCTGCTATGGGTTCCATTGGGAAGCCAACCACCCAACCAGCTGGCCCTCTGGTTCCTCACCTGCCCAACTTTTCCAGCAGCTCGTACAACTCCTCCACACTGCCATGCCGGAAGATACTGGGGCTGGAGCTGGGCGTTTGGCCATCTGTGGTCTCAAAGACTTCGTCATCATCGCCTCCATCCTCCTTATCGCCCTGCAGGGTAGGAGGGGTCTCCTTAGGAAGAGAAGGAAGAGGGGACGGAGTGAGGATGGTGGCACCTCTGTCTGGTGAGCCACGCTCACCTTAGCAAGAACTTTCCCCCTCCCTGTAGTCCATCATCATGGAAGCTTCCTCTTCCCAAAGCCCATCTCACCTTGCTTCCTCTGTTTGGGCTCCCGGTCTCGTTGCAGGTGAGGACCTCCACCTCGCCATCCTTGGCCATCAGCTGCCAAAAACAAGTCCACAGGACCCTTCAGCTCCATGGTCAGTTATCTCCCTGTCTCCACACCCAAAATGAGGGGGCTAAAAGGGATTCCTTTCTGTCCATTTTTCCAAGTCAATCTAAGTCCATGAAGCAACAGGAGGGACCCTATTGTGGTGGGTAGGAAGAGCTGTTTGCCCCTCCTCACAACGTTTGGACAGGGCAAATCCTCTTCTCCTTGTAGCTCCGCAACTACCAACACACTTCAAATCATGCACTGATATGGTGGGAGGGGGTTCTTTCATGGCTAATTATGGCTTATGTTGGAGCGTGCTTTCCATCAGTGTTTAACATTTACACAAATGACCAGCCACTGTCAGAAGAGATAGTTTCATCTATGCTGAGGATTGTGCCATCACCGCCTAAGCAGAGAGCTTTGAAATAGTTGAACAGAAGCTCTCCAAAGCTCTAGGTACTCTTACTGCCTATTACAGGGAAAACCAGCTGATCCCTAATCCATCTAAAACACAGACATGTGCCTTTCACCTTAAGAACAGAAAAGCATCCCGAGCTCTGAGGATGACCTGGGAAGGAATCCCACTGGAGCATTGCAGCGCACCCACCAAAATACCTGGGAGTCACTCTGGACTGTGCTCTGACTTATAAGAAGCACTGCTTGAATATCAAGCAAAAAGTGGGTGTGAGAAATAATACCATAGGAAAACTGATTGGCACAACCTGGGGATCACAACCAGACACAGTGAAGGCATCTGCCCTTGTGCTTTGCTACTGTGCTGCTGAATACACATGCCCAGTGTGGAACACATCTCACTACATTAAAACAGTGTATGCGGCTCTTAATGAGACATGCTGCACTATCACAAGACGTCTACGCCCTAAGCTGCTTGAGAAATTATACTGTTTAGCTGGTACTGCACCACCTGACATCCATTGTGAAGTAGCAGCCAGTAATGAAAGGACCAAGGGAGTGACATCTCCGGCCCATCCTCTGTTTGGGATATCAACCAACAAGTCTTAAATTAAGAAATAGCTTCCTAAGATCTACAGAGATGCTTGCAGGAACACCTCAGCAAGCTAGAGTCCAAAAGTGACAGGCTAAAACCCAGAACCTCAATCAGTGACTGATACCAATTGCAATTGCAAACAGTACCAATAAAGAGAAAAAATAGGACAAGTGCAAAGAAGCCAGAATAGATGTCCAAAGAACTTCTAACTGTGCTAAGACTCAAAAGAGACATGCACAAGAAGTGGAAAAAGGGAGAAATCACCAAAGAAGAATTCAAACAAATAGCCAACACCTGTAGGGAAAAGGTCTGCAAGGCTAAAGCACAAAATGAGCTCAGGCTTGCCAGGGACATTAAAAACAATAAAAAGGGCTTCTTTTCTTATGTCAGTAGAAAAAGGAAGAACAAGGAGGCAATAGGGCCTCTTCGAGGAGAAGATGGGGCAATGCTGACAGGGGATAGGGAAAAGGCAGAACTACTTAATGCCTTCTTTGCCTCAGTCTTCTCACAAAAAGAAAGTCATCTTCAACCTCAGCAAGATGGAGTGGATGAGGGATTAGAGGACATCCAACCCCAAATTGGGAAACAAGTCGTCCAGGAATACCTGGCCGCTCTAAATGAGTTCAAGTCCCCTTTCAGGGCCAGATCAACTACACCCAAGAGTACTGAAGGAACTAGCGGAAGTCATTTCGGAACCATTGGCAATCATCTTTGAGAGTTCTTGGAGAACGGGAGAAGTTCCAGCAGATTGGAGGAGGGCAAATGTGGTCCCAATCTTCAAGAAGGGAAAAAAGGATGACCCAAACAACGACCAATGTCCGGTCAGCCGCACATCGATACCGGGCAAGATTCTGGAAAAGATTGTTAAGGAAGTGGTCTGCAAATACTTAGAAACAAATGCGGTCATTGCTAATAGTCAACATGGATTTATCAAAAACAAGTCATGCCAGACTAATCTGATCTCTTTTTTCGAAGGCAGGATCATCTAGTTTGCAGACGACACCAAATTGGGAGGGATAGACAAGATTCCAGAAGACAGGAGCAGAATTCAAAATGATTAGAGAGATGAAGGGCCAAAACTAACAAAACAAAGTTCTACAGGGACAAATGCAAGATACTCCAATTAGGCGAATGGGGGACAATGCCTGGCGCGAGAGCAGTACGTGTCAAAAAGATCTTGGAGTCCTCGTGGACAACAAGTTAAACATGAGCCAACAATGTGATGTGGCGGCAAAAAAAGCCAATGGGATTTTGGCCTGCATCAATAGGAGCATAATGTCTAGATCTAGGGAAGTCATGCTCCCCATGCTCTATTCCGCCTTGGTTAGACCACACCTGGAATATTGTGTCCAATTCTGGGCACCACAATTCAAGAGAGATATTGACAAGCTGGAATGTGTCCAGAGAAGGGCGACTGAAATGATCAAGGGTCTGGAGAACGAGCCCTATGAAGAGCGGCTTAAA